CTCCCACAAGTTTCACCTTCAAACTAATAATATGAAAAGATAGCTTTTCTATAAGGGTGACAATGTTTAAATTTAGTGCTAGAGTGGAAATCTCACAAACCAAGTGGTGACGTAACAAAAGTATTTTTTAAGATTTTGATGATTTGATCCAATGCAAAATGTGGAAAGTAATGCAAAATAAGAGATGAGTAAAGTTAAAGAGCAAATAAACAACACGACCGAAGTCATTAAGAAGTTCATTGCAGTTCGTTCAGTAACACTTCGCGTTAGAAAGTCAAGGTCAAGGTCTTTTCTTCTGAAGGACAGGCTCAAGGCATGTACTTTATAACTAGATAACAAATTCCGGTCAGTGACACGTGTGGCTGCCGGCCTCTTATTCGATAATAAGCCCCGTTCAAGGTTACCATCTTTAGTAAAAATAATATAAAAAAAAAAAAAAAAAAAAAAAAAAAAAAAGATTTGAGAAAATATATTCTTTATGTCTAGAAGCTACTCTTTAGACTGATTCGAATTTTAGTTTTAACACAGGAAGCCCAAGCGCGGTACTCGTGGACCGGCTTTGCAAAGAATAAAAATATATTTAGATTTGCATATCTGACGCATTTTTCAAAGTATTTTTGTATTAAGCCTTACCAGGTTTCTTGAGTGTATCCTTATTGACATTATGCCTTTCCTGTGTGCAATTTGGAGCCAATCCGATACGTTTTTCCTTTTATTTGCCTACCAAGGAAGAAAAAAAACGTCTGATCGGCTCAATGAACTACGTCACTACGGAGATATTGCGTCTAGAATTCTAGAAATCAAATATTCATTGATTAGTTTTACTGTTCAAAGGCATTGCGTATTGATGTTTTTTACGACGGCCATGTTGGAGGAACTTAACAAAAGAATTGTCAATGAATTCTTTTGTTATATCCTCCAACATGGCCGCCGTGTCTTTTGTTATTTAATTCTCTTGGGAATGGTTGAAAACCATCAATAATTCAACCCTATGGATATTATTTACTTTAACACTAACTTGATTATGTAAATATAAGATGAATTGTTTTCACTGAGTAGTATATGTGACCCGCCTTACAGAAAAAAGGGATAAATTCTCCAATAGACAAAATAAGTTTTGCTCGCAAGAATTTTTCACCGGGTTGTAGTAGTGTTTTATCGTTAGCAGGTCTGCAGGTTTTAGCGTGAACAGCTACCGGAAGCCCCTTATTCCTCCTTATTCCTGACACAAACGCCTCCATAAAGGTGACGAGGAAATAAAAATGGGCAAAAGTTAATAGAAGTTAAAAGAAACGGAAGAGGGCGAGATTATGGTTCGGGTGTCGTAAGAAAATCCTCTTGAACTATTGACAAAGAAAAACAGAATAGAGAATATCGGTTATCGCGTGAAGCGCTTATAAGAAAAAAATCCAATGGTTGCCGGCTTTGGAATCTTAACGTGAAAAATAAAAGTTGACTTTTAAATTTTAAATTCGAATTTTAATCGTAAAAGAAAACGAAACATTAATCATTTTAAGATTTTAATTGTTTTAACAATCAATTAAGATCAAGACTCTTTTAGGAAATGAAACTGATATTGACCATTTCAGCGTCTATATGCCTTATAGTATAGCATGCGGAAAAAGCATAAGTAATTCGGAGGAGCAATGGGTAATGCGCTATACTCGGTTGTTCGAAGCGTCGGTGCGCAATTTATCACTATTTCATCCTGTTTGCAAACGAGAGTAGTTTAACAGAGTGATTTCAGTTATTGTATTTTAATTTTACATTTTTCTGTCGAGGAAATCGATCGCACTTGATATAACTCGCCCATACAGCTGTTTCTCACAGCATGATCATCGAGATACTGCATATATCACCTTTTTTGTATTTTATTCCCACTTACAGTAATTTGAATTGTGAGAATCGTGTGAACAGCGTGAATAAGTTTTTCAGTAATCGCACTATATTGCACGGTTTTCCGCTTACTTAGAAAACGTTGAAACACTTTTTTTTAAGAAAATGTTTGCCAAAGTTTATTATTTTTCTTGACTATCTATGTCATAGCAACTACGAATATAGCCTCAGGCTCTTCATAAGGACCACTAGTGAAAAATTAACATATCATTCAAGAAAACTATCGCGGTGAAAAGGAATAAACTAGTTCAGACTAGAATAAATGAATTAAATAGACAGAACTATTGTAACGAATAAGCAGGCAGTTAATCAGTCTACATGCAATCTTCGAAAAAGCAAGAGGTCTCAATTTGAATCCTCCAAAAGGTTCTTAATGAAATTTCGAATTCCTTTTAGTCAGAGATACGAATGGCATAAGATTATTTATTGACCCACTCTAGCTCTTCTCATGTTACTCATACCAATCTCTCAGACAGACAGCACAGAGTACTAGATATAGTATTTCGAAAATGCAGTATCATGTATTCTGGGTCACGGTCGTGGCATCTCCAACAACATTACGCCTGTTAACCTTCAAAATCGATATCTAATCTTCGGTCTTCCGCGACTGTCTTTCTTCTCTGGAGGGTTTTACCGGTGACCTGACTATATCCGGGTAAGATCTGCACGAATTATACGATATAGTAACCCCCTCATCTATCTGTATGGTATTTCTTGGGTGTCCATTTTGAAATATTTAGGATGCACTTTCAGTGGCAAAGACTTTCATCTATGAATGGCAAATTGAGTAACGTAACCGGTGACTATCACTATTGCATTTATCGGTTTTCGATTCAGTGCTGCTTTAGAAATGATATGCTATGGTCTTCTAGAAATTTAATCTAGAGAAACTAGCCTGCATACCATATGGCCGACAATGAGCCGCGAGCCGAGCATAGCCTGCAATCTTGATCATTACAATGTAATTGACTTTTATGTGAAAAAGTACTGCAGCGCAAAATCCAAAAGCTTTCCTCTTAAAAATAAAATAACTAGTAAAACTGATATCTGTATGTTAAGACCCCCCAAAAATACTGATAAATGGATTATCTCCGTCAGCATTTTTTTTATTGCTAGAATTAAGACGTATAGCCGGATCTGCGTCACACAATCTTCTTAACTGTGATGTCACATCAGATATTTTGTTTCTTGAACCACAGGTAGCCCAAGCTTGGTTTCTGAGGTGTCCTGTTATAAGGAAATGTATGGGGAATCATCAAAAATTTCAATAAAATCATCAAAACGTGAAATAAAGCCTCGAAATTTTACCCTATCATTGAGAAATAGCACTTCTTTCGCTCTGCGTGGTTATTTTTTTGAATTTAGCCCGTTTTAAGGATTTTT